GTTCCATGTCCTTAGTCTGCTTGTCTTCAGCAAACTGTTTGTGGGCTTTCTTGTGCATCATCTTTAGAAGAGGCTTCCTTCTGGGATGACAGCCATGTGGACCAATTTGATGCAGTGTGCGACGTATGATGCTGAGCACGTGCACTCAACTTCTTTAGTCGACCATGGTGAGGCCTGTTCTGAGTGGAACCTGTCCTGTTAAACCGCTGTATGGTCTTGGCCACTGTGCTGCAGCTCAGTTTCAGGGTCTTGGCAATCTTCTTATAGCCTACGCCATCTTTACGTAGAGCAGCAATTCTTTTTTTCAGATCCTCAGAGAGTTCTTTGCCATGAGGTGCCATGTTGAACTTCCAGTGACCAGTATGAAAGCGTGAGAGCGATAACACCAAATTTAACACACCTGCTCCCCATTCACACCTGAGACCTTGTAACACTAATGAGTCACATGACACCGGGGAGAGAAAACGGCTAATTGGGTCCAATTTGGACATTTTCACTTAGGGGTGTACTCACTTTTGTGGCCAGCGGTTTAGACATTAATGGCTGTGTGTTGAGTTATTTTGAGGGGACAGCAAATTTACACTGTTATACAAGCTGTACACTCACTACTTTACATTGTAGCAAAGTGTCATTTCTTCAGTGTTGTCACATGAAAAGATATAAAATATTTACAAAAATGTGAGGGGTGTACTCACTTCTGTGAGATACTGTATATATATAATATAATAATATATATAAAGCTGTATTTTTTTCACAATAATTGGGCCCTATGAAATGTTTTCTCTTTGCAAAAATTCTGTGTTCTGTTTAAATTTTTTTGGACTTATGAATCTAGACAAATGTATCTTCGGTGGTAATCATATGAAGGCATAAAAACATTATTGAATTAATTACAATTTAATATATATATAAATTTTATTTGTGTCATCCAGCGAGCTGTTTAAATTTGCAGCCGTTTCTACCTAGATCAGGGTTAACCAAACTTGCAGAGTTTAGCCCCAACTTGCCTCAACACACCTGTCTGGATGTTTCAAGTATACCTATTAAGACATGAATTAACTGGTTCAGGTGTGTTTGATTAGCTAAACTCTGCAGGACGCCGGCCCTTCAGGACCGAGTTTGGTGACCCCTGACCTAGATAGTTAACTATTGGAATAAGACAACCTCCGAGATATATATTCACATGTTTTGTGTCGACACACCCCACGGAAGAGAGGGGTCTGGTGAGCAGTAGCTCATTATCATTTAAAGAGACACACACCGAAACCGTTCGCTGTGAACAGAGCTATTTTTGACAAGGTAAAAAGGGTGTTGTTTTACGTGAAATTAGTGAGGGTGCTTTATAGATGTAAGCCCTTAATGTAGGCTTACATCTATTTTGACATATTTTTGCCCTGTCCATTGTTATGGTTATCACTATCATTGCAATGATAGTGACATCTGCATATAAATGCCGCATTTATATGTGCGTTGTCACTCACGAAACTTGGCAGCGTGTGAGCACTCACTGGTCCTCTTAGCATCATGAAAAAAAACTTATTCAAATTCCAAATGGATTATAGCCAAGAAAGCGCGCAAAGATTATAAATCACTAAAAAGCATCACTCATTTCAGTTAATCTCACAAAGTTTCGTTATAATCAATGAAGCTCTACACTGCACAATGAATCTCTTTATTTACATCATGTTACACTTTTTTGTTTTTTATAATGAAAGACTACCGAGCGTGCTACACTGAACAGAACTGTGGTGTTTTGAGCGGTGAGTGGATGCAAAAACAAAATAAAAAAATAGAAATTCACTTTAGCATTTATATACATTAAAAAACAAGCTTTAAATCATTTTACAATTTTAAATTAAATATGATTTTTGAATAATGAAAATTAGTTTGTCTGCTTATTCTGTTCATCAGTATTTGAACCTAGGCCTGGGTGATAAAACAGTATCGATATTTATCGACGGTACATAATGTTCGATATAGTGCACGATATAGGCACATGCTATGAGCAGACAGCACACACAAACACATGCTAAACTGAGTGCTGTGCCTGCCTGTATAAGTTCATGTTTCATATAATGAGGCTGCAGACGTTAAAAACCATGAGAGTCATACGTGCTTGAGTAGTGCGTAGTAGTAGACAAAACTGCACCATTAATTCACACACAGAACATGCAGACTTGAGATTTAAATATAAATACAGCTTTTAGTTGAAATGGAAAATTTTCCATCAGAGTTTTTTTCCCCCCAACCTTTTGTTTCTCCAAAACATGTACTTATGGTAATGCTTTTCCATAAAAAACTGCACAATGAGACATTTACAGATTGCAAGATATTGTCAGATGAGGTAAAATCATAGTTTTGGCCCTTGTGCATGTGTGTGTTGTGTACAGTTGGGTCACACATACCAGCAGCTGACGGGAGACTGGCAGAGGCAGCAGGTGAGGAAAAGTCAGCAAAGTCACCAATGAGATCTGAGCTTCCGCCTGCAAAATATTAAGATGACATGAATAGTCTTTAGAAAGCAACAAAGTTTAGAATAGAAGCTCAAAAATTTGGGGTAGGTAAGCCCTTACGCAAAGAAAATATACTTCCTTATATATGCATGATTAATATATTAAATGATTGAACGGTATTTTGAAAATATACAGAATGATATATTTTGTTAATATATTATAATATATTGGATAATACATAAGGAACTTACATGTTTCATATGTTCATATATCGCTAGTTAACAACAGCACAAGCACACCTGCATGTACTTAAGTATTTAGCAAAGAGACTATCAGCGTGATGAAGAGCGCACAGCCCTTACTTTTTAAATAAAGTAATATATAGTCTTAATGGTGTTAGGCCAGTCTTCAACCTAACCACAGGCTCTACTCTTCAGCACACGGTAACCCCAAAAACATACCAGAAACCCTTTTCAATTCCAAAATAATAGAACATTAAACACTAACAGATCTCCCCCTATATTAATATTGAGCAAAAACACACGAAATAACTTAATTTTAAGATTATGTCAGAAGCAAAGCATGCTGGGAACTAGAAATCTGCTGTAACTCATTCTGTGAATGTGTGTATACGTGTACATATATTCACATTTATATGGGAACATGTATGTAAAATGTGTACAATAAAGGATAAAACCTTATGAATATTACATGTAATGCTATTTTTGTCTTCATTTCTAAATATTTTTATAGGTATCAATATTTAGCCATACATGGTCAATAAAAAGAAAGAAAGAAAGAAAGAAAGAAAAATTGCATTGCAGTGATCCAAAGTGACAGTAAAAGCATTTATAATGAGAATTTTTTTTATTTCAAATAAATGGTGTTCAATGAACTTTCTATTTATCAAAGAATCCTGAAAAAAATGCATCATGGTTTCTACAAAAAATATTAAGCAGTAAAAACCTTTTCAACATTAATAATAATGATAACTGCTGTTCATAATTGAGCAGCATATTAGCATATACATTTTTTTTCATTAGCAATGTTGAAAACAGTTGCGATGCCTAATATTTTTGTGGAAACTGTTGACTTTTTTCAGGATTTTTGATGAATATAAAGTTCATTTATTTGAAAAACATTTTTTTTGTAACATTATAAATATCTTTACTGTAACTCTAGATTGATTAACTCATCCTTACTGAAAAAAGATTTTTCACGATAGAAAAAAATCTATGATTTACATCAAAATAATATTTTTTTTTCTACTGGGGCAATGCAGAATAGTATGGAAGCCCGTTTCCGCCACTGAATAAAAAATAAGAGGTAATTGCGACTTTTTATCTCACAATTCAGATTTTTTTCTCAGAATTGCGTGATACAACTCGCAATTCTGATTTTTTTTCTCAGAACTGCGTGGTATAAACTCGCAATTGCGAGTTAAAAAGTCAGAATTGCGTGATATAAACTCGCAAGTGCGAGACAAAGTCGCAATTCTGAGAAATAAAGTCAGAATTGCGTGATACAAGCTCGCAATTCTGACTTTTTTTCTCAGAATTGTGAGATATAAACTCGCAATTGCGAGTTATAAAGTCAGAATTGTGAGATATAAACTCGCAATTCTGAGAACATATCAGTCTTTTTTCCCCCCACAAAATGGGACTTTAACTCGCAATTGCGAGTTTATATCACGCAATTCTGACTTTATAGCTAGCAATTGTGAGTTTATATCACGCAATTCTGAGAAAAAAGTCAGAATTCTGACTTTATAACTCGCAATTGCAAGTTTATATCTCACAATTCTGTGAAAAAAAGTCAGAAATGTAAGTAAAAATGTAAAAAATTAAATTTTTTATTCAGTGGCGGAAACGGGCTTCCATAGAATAGGACCGAATTATCTGGATGTGTGACTAAAATTCAGATGCACAGGCAAACACGTGTCCATCCACATACACACAATCAGGTTGTCACAACCTGATTGCAACAGCTCTTGACCTCCTGACTGATGCTAGCACAGCACAGCTGTTGGGCTGGTGACAGGATACGAAGGGACAGCAGCATCTGTGCACCCATCTCCTATTCGTTCTTTCTCTCTCTCACACACAACTCACACCCATCTGGGGCACTTAGATGTCTCTGACTGCATCTCTGAAGAACTTCCATAAGTATGGCTTAAAAGCTACATCAACTCTCAGGAAAAAAGTTTCTGTCTGAGTCCCTGCATGAAGAAAATTGGGCTCAAAAATGAACAATGACCAAGTAGTAAATGTTATATGCTCCACACACATTGAGCCGTGGTGTCTATTCAGCAGGTGTGGGGGTTTGAATTGGTTTGTGAGTGGTATTTAATCCCCTAACCCTAAGTGTAAGCAATAGTAACAGTGATGCTTAGCAAAAAAAAATACTTGTTGAAACGCGGAAAATGCAGCTGATGGGGTCTTACCTGAAGACACTGGTTGACCAGAGCCAGCTTCCACCATCAACAGATCTGCAAGCCCTGTGCTGGATAACTGACTCACTGATGTCTGAAAAGAGAAAGATTAATGTCACATTTCACTTCTACCACATGAAGGCAGCACAGGCTTCCTTTTGCAACCCTAATCACTTCACAGAGAGGACTGTATAGGTGCATTCAGTTGTTTTTGTTTAGGTTTTGCAGGTTGTTTTTCAGGCTCTTTTGTACCTGGTTGTGGTCAGCACCTGGACTGCTTTTGTCACCAGTGTAATGAGCAGCTGCGCCCAGGTCAACGGTTTTGGACGGGACTCCGCCGCGTTTGCGTGTAGAGGTGGTGGTAGTGGTGGTGGAGGTGATTGTATCTGTGGTCTGTGTGATCTGGATGCTCTTGGTTGTTACAGTCTCCTCATCATCCTTAAACTCTGACTTTGCAGGACGACCATTCTGTGAAACCCTGTCCTCCTCATTGTCACTGAAGGAAGAGGCAACAGTAAGACAAAGAACTGTGTTAGTTCATATAACTACAGGGGGTTCATTTATCAAAGTAGATTTCAAAGCGCTAAAGCTAGCATGAAATGAAAATTCACCCTATCTATTTTCTAAATGTAAGTTATTGATCTTATTGTCCACCTCGTAATTCTTAATCAAAATGTTATAACTTCATCTTCTGGTGAAATAACAGACTTCTTTCTGGTGACGTATGCCAGACTTCCCTAATCATTTAGTTTTCTTAATCCCAGCCCCTTTCTTACAATTGGCTCATATTTAGCCGATCTACTTCCTTTCAATCAACAACTGATGGATTTAACCAAGCCCGCATTCTACATTTTTCCTTTTCAATAAACAGTTTCACTCAGATGTATATCACAATATTTTATGAAAGTATCTGTCGTTACTTCAGTTATATAGCTTTTCATTCTATGGCTTTATTAATTCTATGGACTGAAAACTCAGTCATGTACCTGATATGGTCTGGTGAGTCATCCCTCTCCTTTTTGCGGAATTTGCTGATGGTGTCATCAATGGTGTTTCCAATTTTGTCACTTATCTCCCCGAGTTTTTCACTGAACGGGAAGCTGCTCTTGTTTTTCTCCCAGTCCTCGTCCCATTTGCTTTTAGATTCGGGGTCAAACCGTTCTCCCGCTGAGAATGTGTATACAAAATCAGTTAGGTGCTGAATTGGTTTCAGATATTTAATGCTTCAGATTGAAATTCACTAAAGGCCTGTTCACATCAGGGAAGATAACAATATCGATAACTGAAGTTTTATTAATTGTTCTAATTCCATGAGAAGAGCGAGGTCCAGCTATAATGACAACGGCACTTTCAGAACGATTTTTCCAGCTGATGTAAGATAAAAACATTGACAGTCAATTAAAATCCATTCTGCTTCAAATAACTTAAGCACTTTAAACAGCAAACGACATAACTGCTGCAGCACACTTATAATACAGTTATCGTGCGTAGGTACTATATCTTTACAGTTATTGTGTGTGAATGGCCCATTGGAAGCTATTTATAGCCTGCTTTCAAAATACACTAAAAGCAAAGCATTAACTTCAGCACATAATAAGATATTTATGATATTTAAGTATATTTAAGACTTTTTATGACCTCAAATTTGATCAAACTAAATTTAAGACATTTTAAGTATTTTTAAGGACCCGCGGGTACCCTGGATTGAGGTGAAAACTATAATATAAATAATTTACATAGAAAGGTAGTGCGTTTTGGCCTGAAAAAAACAATGGCTTTAATAAGACAAAGGTTTTTGCATTGATACACCACATACAGAAGTGATGTAATTTTTTGAATTTGCCCCCCTTGATGGACTTGCCCACAAATGCACTTCAAACTTCGAAAAGTATGGAAAATACACCTGACTAAAAACTCAACAAACTTAAAGTAGCCTATAACATAAAATCAAGCTGTCTGCCCCCTCTGACCCTGCATTATTTTTATCTTTCTTCACCAAAACAAATCCATCACAGGCATGTCATCATTAATTGGCAATTTGAAACTGTAGTACAGCTAATAAAGGGAGAAATCTGAGCAACAAATCAAAGCAGAAACCAAGCACAATCTTTTGACGTTGCACACAAGTAACATCACTAATGACATGACAAGGGACGTGGCATCTTGACTTGATTAGACAGCTCTAAGAGAAAACATGTAATACAAAAAGCAGAGATTTGATTATTTCTTCTAACCTGATCATAAACATCACCAAATGATGCAGTAAGCAAAGTTGAAAAGTGATAGCCCTGAAATCAAAACAGCTCTAATCAAAAGATCAGTCGTGGGAAGAAGGAAATCCAGGGGGAATTTTCCTTACAATGCAAGAAAACTTCAGAGGGCCTAAAACAAATCCCTGTGGGACGCCTACAGTACACAGACAAAACAACTCACTTTTGGGGTCAAACACAGTTTCAAGAGATGAAAATAATGCCTCAAAATGACCTGTGATAAAAGGGAATTTCTTGGTTTATTTGATTACCAATAAAACCACTGGAACAATCACCACATCATCACAATACATTTAGGAAATATTAATAATAAAAAGCACCCTACAGAAAGAACTATTATATCCTATCTTATATTAGATCCTCCTGAGAGCATCAGCAATCTCTTTTTTTTTTGTTTTTTTGGTTAACATACAATTTGGCATGCATTTGCTAAAAGTATACTGGTGTAAGAAGTTGTTAGACTGTTAAGTCATATCTTTTTGCCCATATTCATGGAATGCTTCAAATAACTTTTTTTAATAAATGTATCATGTTGTTTTAGGTTTGCAAGAGTTTGGGGAAAAACAATCTGTTTGTCCAACCAATTAACAGACAGTTAGTGGCACTAGTGGTTGTAGAAATCATGTACTTTCAAATTTAGAAACTCTCAAATTTGCTACACTTACAGTTACTTTCTTTGAAGCCTCCCATGCTGTCAGAAGATACTCCAATGTATTTGTCTTTATTCTTCTTGGCTTTCTTCCTCTCTTCACGTAACCGGTCATCATCCTGAACAAACTCTACCATTTCTTTTACCTTCTGCCGTACGTTAATGCCCTGGTCCTTCCCATTTTCATCTAGCAAAATAGAAAAGAGCTTGTCAAATCATATGGAACGGTTTGGTCCATTTAATCTTGTTTTTGCAAAATCTCCATTAGATACAGTATGAAAAATCAACAAATGTCAGAATGTGACCCCACACAAAAATTCCAGTAGTTCAGCAAATAATATAGTGCCATAGTCAATTTTTCTTTGTTGGTAATGCCTGAATTTTGCCATTTGCTGCATTGATGTCCTACAAAAGCCTCGGTAGGCTACAAAATTATTTCTTGTTGTTTACCTAATTAAAGATTCATTGAATACAAATTCACAAATACAATGGTGTGAAGGCAAACCTTTTGGGTTGAATACCAAAATTAAATCAAAGCTACTGATGTGCTAATGTTCATGAATTGTCTCGGTAGACGACTGAAAATGTGTGTAAAATGATGAAAAATTAAACAGAATCGCTTTTGAAAAGCCACAGAATCTTTGAAACATTTAGAACAAGGCACAGAGCTTTACATAGCTACAAAAAGGAAACAGAAACTAACACCTCTAGCACTGACTATGAAGACCTGTTTCGTCATTCACTTATCAGACAAATGTAGCTTAAAGATGTAGTGCCTTCAGAAAGAATTTACCATTTTTATTTAAAATTTTTTTGCTACATCTCCAAATTTTAACAAACTAAATTTCTTCTTTCTCTATAATGAAATATTAACATTTCTCATGTACAAATAAGCTTTCCAGGTCTCAACTCAAGAGCATGAGGCTATGTCCAGTATGCTTGACACCTGGGAAGTATAACTTGGGTGTTGAGCTATATTTAGGTTATGATAAAGCAATGTTTTTAGGCCAAAGAGCTCAAATTTGATTTCATCATATCACCCTCTGCTATACTTGTTTGCTTATATTTTTCCATTTGCATACTAGAATAAAGATTTTCTCAAATAAGTTCCTTTTAACCTTTTAATCTTTTCATCTACTTAAACTCACCTACAAAATGATAATTTTCCAAAGAGCGCAGGTCGTAGATATGTTCTCTGGTGCTGGTGACCACCCGCTCTGACCCATTTCTGATGAGGTACGCTAATAGTAATAAGGCCTGAACACATGGAAGAGGGCATTATTCTGGATATTTCCAAATCAAGCAGCTAAAAGAGTTAAATGCAGGATTTGGGGTAAAAAATAAGTTAACGTTTTTGTACACTGAAGGGAGCAAGTCAAAATGATTGTTTGGACCCAACAACATGCTACAGATGCGACACACAGATATCACGTCAATAATTTTCAATGAAGCATGGGTGTTTTATAAAACCTTTGTGTGAGGAAATTAATGAAAATTAGCAATAGACCGACACATAGGCAGGGCCAATGAATTGGCCAATATCTGGACTTTGGCTAAATATGTCTAAATTAAGTCTAAACTTATTTTCAGTAACTGTGTCTCATTTGAAAGTATGATAAAAGATGAGCAGTGTACCTGTACCTTGTAAACTCTCCTCCAGTTCTTCTTGTTGTCTTTCAGCATTCTAGTCCAAAGCATGTTCATAACTTCAGGGAACTGCTCGTACATAAATGTGGATCTGCAATAATGTGGATTAGTCACATTATGTACAAATACTTTATACTAACTAAAAGTAGGAGATTCAAAAACTGAAATGATACCACGCCAAATTGGCTAAATATAAAGTATTGTAACCAGGGGATACATTGGGCTACAACTATCTGAAATAGATAGTCCTCTCGTTCAATTAAATAAATAATTAAATAAAAATTATCTCTTCCAGTGGAACCACTGAATAAAATGCAGTGATTCTGAAATGGCCCAGTTGATATGCAGTAGCAATTCTTTAAGTTGTATAATTGAGCATGTCATTGAACCTGTCAAAAACAGGAATTATACCACTGACAAACTAGACAGCTTTAAAGATTGTATATTTTCCCATATATTTAAAGTTTTTTGTTTAATGATATTATCTGTTATTTTGTGTTTCCTATGTAAAATATGTTGATATTACTAATACAGTGTTTCTATCAAGGTTTGGCATTTTAAAATACTGCCAAACCATCCATCCAGTTACTGATTTTAATGTAGACTGCTTTTTCACAGCTTTCACAATTTAACACAAGACACTAAATTCATCGGAAAAAAAAAACGCATCTAAAAACTACATGAGGGGGTAATGAATCAACTTTCAGACTATCTCAAGTGTAAGGCATGATGCAATGCAACTGAAATCATCAGCTATCAATGATGAGATAATTCTTAAGTAATTGCCCTACACAAATGTCTTGCGGTAATTGAGAGTAGAGTCATTGAATGCCTGAAGACTGAAGGGAACACAGTCCTTCCACCACCCAGCAGGCTGAGCACTTACTTGGCAATCTCTCCCATGAGCTGGCCCGATGGGCCCCAGGGGTCATCATTGGTGGCTTCTCGAACCTTGGACTCTATCTCTGAGTAGTTCATCACAACATTGGTGCTGGGAAACAGAGAAAAACAAAGAACTACAAATAAACACCAGGCAACCACACACAGACACAAGTGCATATATTGTTACACATGGTCACGAGCCGGTCAGTTTTGGTCAACTGGTGTGTATTTTGTACTGATCGGAGAGAACGGGCTGCCAAAGGTTTAAATGTGTTCAGAGTAGGGCTGTCGCGATTCGTCGATTTTATTTGACTATTCGATTTTTTAAAATCCTTGACTTCATTTTGCTCGCGTCGACTAACCGGCACAATACCGGAAGTGGCACATTTCACAGACGAGAATGCATAAAACACATTATTAGTCTGTTTTGCAAGGCTGCATGATATATTAAACCCATTTAAAAATCATAATTAAGAATAATTGTGAATTCCCAAATGCTACGATTTAATTAAATAATTATATGCGATGCAGTTCTAATACAGTATATGCGCTTGTCATTCAGAAGCATGGCTTTTCTTATCACTGCTATGCTGATGACACTCAAATCTACTTCTCATTCCAACCAGATGACCCGACGGTAGCTGTTCGCATTGCAGCCTGTCTGAGAGATATTTCTAGCTGGATGAAGAACCATCACCTTCAACTTAACCTTACTAAGACAGAACTGCTTGAGGTTCCAGCAAACCCATCGTTTCATCACAGCTGCTCTATACAGCTGGGTTCATCAACCATAACTCCTTCTAGGACAGCCAGAAACCTAGGAGTTGTGATTGATGATCAGTTAAGCTTCACCGATCACATTGCTACAATGGCCCGGTCCTGCAGATTTGCCTTATACAACATTAGGAAGATTAGACCCTTCCTGTCAGAGCAAGCCACAACTTCTTGTCCAAGCTCTTGTTCTCTCCAGACTGGACTATTGTAATGCTCTCTTGGCAGGCCTTCCCGCATGCACTATCAAGCCTCTGCAACTGATCCAGAATGCAGCAGCGAGAGTGGTCTTCAATGAGCCAAAAAAACCTCACGTTACTCCTCTCATCAGGTTACACTGGCTGAACTAATTATTATTGCCTCATTGCTATTATATATGCATTTTAAGTAATTTTAAAGGCTATTGTTCACTTACATCTATTTTTATTACCACAAAAAATATATATATATATATAATTATAGGGCACTATGAAATCAGTTTTATTTTTAAATTCAGTTTTTTCCATTTTCATTTTTCTATACTTTGTTTTAATGGTTAAATTAAAATTGTATTAATCAAAAAGCCTGTCTAATTAATTGAGTTTTACAGTTTTATCTTTCCCAAATTCTGTTTTCCATTATTTTCTGGATTCCATTTTAAAGGGGTCATATGATGCAATTTCAATTTTTCCTTTCTCTTTGGAGTGTTACAAGCTCTTGGTGCATAAAGAAGATCTGTAAAGTTGCAAAGACTAAAGTCTCAAATCCAAAGAGATATTCTTTATAAAATTTAAGAGCCAGCCACACCTACCTAAAACTGCTTGTTCTAACATGCCCCCACATACCTACGTCACTATCTGGGAAGATTTGCATAACGCTGCCCAAATGTTCACGCAAAGAAAAAAGTATTGTATTGTTGCGGCCGCCATGTCTTGAAGGCACTGTGTGTTTCGTTGTGAAAGCGAAACTACTTTGTTCGGACTACTTTCACCATGGACGAAGCTGAGTCCAGCCCGGGGTCATCACATGTGGTTGCCGCAAGCCTCCTTCGTCGAATCCGCCGGCCGTGCCTTTTTCAAGCCCGCCGCCTCTGCTCACTCTAGGCCACCGTGTATGACGCTGTGTTTCGTTGTGAAAGCGAAACTACAAACCCGATTCAAAAAAAGTTGGGACACTGTACATATTGTGAATAAAAACAGAATGCAATTTGTTGTGTCCCAACTTTTTTCGAATTGGGTTTGTACTTCGTTTGGCTTTCCAAAAATGGGCACGACTAGAAATCAGTGGTTAAGTTGTATTTACAACACTGTTCCAGAACAGTACAACCCAAATATTCAGATGTGTGCAGCACATTTTATGGAGGACTGTTTCCTGATCCTGGACTCACAGATTGTATGTAAGTTTTTTATATTTAAAGAGTTTTTATATTTTATATTTTTTATATTTAAAGTGAGTTTTTTGGGCAGTGTTCAGGGCTTGTTGTTTGTCATTTCTCCGATCACAAATGCAAAAACCCATATAATGGGTTTTCATGTTTTTGAATCATCGCCCCGGCCTGACAGGGCATCATCACAATATGGTAAGGGGCGTAACATTTCTGTCACACGCTTGAGGTATTCGGCCAATCACAACGCACTGGATAGCTGGCCAATCACAGCACACCTTGCTTTTCAGACCGATGAGCTTTGGAAAAATAGGCGCGTTTCAGAAAGGCGGGGCATAGAGGAGAAACAATAATGTACAGTATGTGGAAAATAATGTTTTTTGAACCTTAAACCGCATAAACACATTTCATTACAACAAATACACAAAATAATGTTATTTTTACCAACATCATATGGCCCCTTCAATTAAATTTTAATAAATTAATTGATTTTATTAAAAATTAAAAAAAGGAAATCAGAAATACTGCACATTTACATTTTTCTCCTAAGCAAATTCTGGTAAATAATATTTTTGGCAAATACTCCTTTAAAAAGTGTTTTTTGATTATAATTTTAGAATTTGTAGACTAGAACACGTGGATATGTTGTCATTCTTACACTATAATACTGAACTTTGATTTCAGTGATTTGGACTATGAGATGGGCACTTGCTTCTTGCACTTTACTTTTTTACTTTTGGATTTAATTTGGTTTAATGAAATATAGTTTAATAAAATATTCTTAAGTAAAATTGTTGATTTTTTTTGTGAGAAATTAATCGTTTAGATTAATCGATAAATTAGTCGATAGATTAATCAAAATAAAAATATTTGTTAGTAGCAGCCCTAGTTCAGATGAAACCTGGTGTGAAAAACCTGTACAGACAGCTCTGTTTAGTGTTAAATCTACCGAGCATTCATGTGACTAAACCACTTTGTCAACACTGTCGTAGATTAACCTGACAGGCTATGGAACAAATTTTTAGGAAAGAGCTACAGTACTGAATGGTGGAGTTTCATTGTTCTTAGCCATATAGATTCAAGCGATGGCCCAACTTGTAGACCAATCTTTACGGATTTTAACTAGCTACAAGAAAGGTAGACAACAGCAAAGAGTAGGAAACTTGGAGTAGGCACTATCATTAAGAGTTAATGCTCATGTCAAACTTGTTTGTTTTCCACAAAACTTCAGATGTGAGGAAGCGTAGGAGGACATGACATTGAAATGATGTGCTTTTATTTGGAAATAAAGCTGAAGACCTGGTGTTCCAAGATTCTAATTAATAGACAGTCTAAGTCAAATGGAGAAAGTGAGAAATTTAAAATAAATAAATAAACCTTTTATAGCTAAGTTTTAACTCAAGTCGATCAATGGTCAAAGACCAGACTCACAATTCACTTCAGAGGATGACAGTTAAAGGAAAACATACAACTTACTGTTTAACAGGGTTGGAAGAGGGTTCATGCCAAAACATTTCTTAACTTTCGAACAAAGTTTCCACATCCTTAAACCAAACTGATCATTCTTTCCTCACCGTAATGTTATTCCAAACCATATGACCCATAGGAGATGCTTGACAGAATGGCCTGGCTGCTCTTTCCATTCAACAAAAGAAACCAGAAATCACAGTTTTCCAAATCATACAATATCGATATTTATCACAATATTAATTTACCATTAATGGGAAAGGAAATGCTTTCCACATGTTTGTTAGACCTTGAATGAATGTAAACAACTTGTTAGTTCACAATTGAACTCTCTTTTAATTTAGGGAAACATTAAGTCAATTTTTTTCTCTCTAAATTCTCTGTTTTACTTCGTGTGTGTGTGTTTTATGATTTAATACAAATTTATCATCAAAAAAGGTGTGTAATGAAAAGAAATAATAAAACTTTAACAAAATTAAATCAATCTTTTAAAATGTAATCAAATGAAAATACATGAAAATGAACAAAAATGATAAACAATTATCAAAATATTACATTTTTATATTATGATGTATGATATTCCTTACAATTATTATTATTTTTATTATGATTACTTTGAGAAGTACATGATAGGAAAAAATAGTAATACATTTCTATCATAATATCTTCAAGTTAAAGGGATAGTTCACCCAAAAATGTTGTTCTAAACCTGTAAGACCTTTGTTCGTCTTCGGAACACGAAGATATTTTTGATGAATTCTGAGAGCTCTCTGACCCTCCCATAGACAGCAATGTAATTACCACGATCAAGGTCCAGAAACGTGGCAATGAGATCGGTAACATCACGCGACATCAAAAAGTATTGTCGTAGCTTCGTAAAATTACGGTTGAACCCCTGATGTATAAATAAATAAGATAAAAAAATCTCTTCATATAAACAAAGGCTACCTGTGCTCTTTCCATTTACAATTAGAGGCAACCACTGCATTTGAATCACAATCCAAACAAAGATGCTGAATACATGCAGCATGAGCATTTTTTAAATCTAAATTAGATTGCATAATTTGACATTTTAAAACAAAAACAGAATGCTCTGACTTTAGTTTTGTGAAACTATACCGCATAAAACAGCTGCACGAAACAAAGAGCACAAGCTCTGAAGGAGACGCAGATTCACTCTCTGACAGCAGGAGGCGCTTATGGAACAGCAGCGATACAGTGTTTCCTTGGTTTCCACTGTAAACAAAGCAGCGTAGCACTTATGAACGCTGCTTTAATATGAATTATACAGAGACGAGATGAAAAGAAAATATCAACTAAACTTTTCTAAAGACAGTCAGTTCCCCTCAGAGATACATTCATATAAACTCCCACCCCCAAATGCATCGTGATTCGTTTAACATTAATTTAACCGATTTGAATCGTCACATATTTGTATCGATTTTCCACTGGCTCGCGGTGAATCGTTACATCCCTAGTATTGCCGTAAAGAATGCTTTTTTTGGTCT